TATCTTTAAATAAATTAAAATAATTTAAAGATAATTCAAAGATATTTCATTCTCATCAAAGTCTCCCACTTAGCATTATAAATAAGGGGCTCCTCCAAGCCATTTTCATTCATTTGGAAGCATTTGAAGGTTGGGAGGTATTCGTAGGTTGAGAGCATTTCAGAGTCAAGAAGTAGAAGATTTCTAAAGTGAAGATCAAGTGGCAACAAAGTTTGTGATCAAGATCAAGTCGTGAAGAGCCTTGAAGTGAAGATCAAGTGTTCGTGATCAAGATCAAATGTTCGTGATCAAGATCGAGTCATGAAGACCTTTAAAGTGAAGATCAAATGTTCGTAATCAAGATCAAGTCGTGAAGACCCTTGAAGCGAAGATATCAATTGTTCGTGATTAAGATTAAGTCGTGAAGACCCTTAAAGCGAAGATTATGTGAAGTTCGTAATCAAGACAGAGTCCAAGTTCGTGACTTTTGAAAACGAAGTGAAGAAATTAATTAGAGGAATTTCCAGAGATTATCACTCACATCATCAAATATTTGTATTTGTCTCATAATTTTTAAGTCAAGAAATTTTGACGAGAAATTTGTGTACACCCACGTTTATACCTAAACAAATATACTTAATAAGTGGTGAAAAACTTATGCTTATATACCCAAGAGCCATCTCATCTTTTACTAATTTGAGATCTGTGACATTGTACTCTAGTCAATTGTTTAACACTATGTTGCACTAGCTTTCATGGGAGCCCCACATCAGTGAAGATCTGAGTTTACTTTAATATCAAACATCATGGGTTGGAATTTAAGCCCCACTCTCACGCGACCTTAAACTTTGAAAATAAAATTTAAGTAATCTTATAAATCATGGACTTATATTTTCAACTTAAAAGACATACTTGATAAGTGGTAAAAAACCCATATTTATATGTCCAAGATTCATTTTATCTCTTATGTGTATAACAACAATTATTCTTAACTTGAAAATTTTAGGTAAAAACCAAACTCTTCCATCTCTAAAAACAAACTACTCTCCATCCATTTGAGATGTAAACGAATTGGGTACTCACTATTTTTGAGGTACCTGAACCCAAAATCATTTAAATATTAAAATACCCGAACCTTATAAAAACCCGAATAAAATTAAAAAATACTACCCAAAATTGAACCCTATTAGAATAGCACTAACCGTTAATTATCCGAATCCGTTAATTATCTAATTATTGAAAACAAATTTTTAGTATTCAGATACCTATTTAATAACCTGAACTTGAAACTCGAAATCCAAATAAAAAATGTTCAACAGTAATTCATATATAATCAACTAGCAATTAAAAACTATTCCGCACAACTAACAGTTAAAAACTATTCCACAATTAAAACCAACAACAATACAATGGGCTTGAAATAAGGTATGATCTAATCTTTATTATATTATGTTATCTTATATCTATTTCTAGTGTTATCTTATGTTATCTTAAATGAAAAATTAAGAAAATAGATATAAAGTAAAATTTTTATATCTTATATGATTATCTAGTCTTTATTTATATATGGTAGACAAGTAATAAATAGGAAGGAAACAGATATAGGATGCCAAATCAAATTGAATTAGTTGAAATGATAAGTAAAGTTACTTAAAGAAATTAAACATAAATTAAGGAAAATATTATTTTTTGCTTATGAAAGATTAAAGTCTTTATTAAACAAAATAATGATATGTTATTAAGTTTGCATCATAATCCAAATAATATAAATTAATTTTGCATTTGTTAGTTTACAAGTTCAACTAATACAAAAATTTTATATATTTAAGTTTGCATCATAATTCAAGTAATACAAATTAATTTTACATTTTTTAGTTTTTAAATTCAATTAATATAAAAAATTTACAAGTAATATAAATATAATCGAATTCTATACAGGGTACCAGGTACTCAAAACTCAAAATAAATATAATCGAGTTTGAATTTCAAGTATCCTAAGGATGATACCTGAACCTACCCAAACTTAAATCGAGTATTAAAAACAATACCCGAATCTACCTTGTAACCGGTTATGAAATATGTGAATTTTATTTTATTAGATCGAATACACACGGATATATGGTTATTAAATACCCATTTACATCTCTACCCTCTATTATTGGGCCAAAATTTTTGAGTTGTAAAATGTGATTTCTATTTGAGTTTTTAGTATTTTGCTTGACCGAATTTGGTATCGATATTTGCTTAAGGTGAGAGTATAAATATTCAATTATTATTGTTTTAAATAAAACTTGGTAATTCTAATAAAAAAATTGATCCGGATGAAATAATGAGAATAAAACAATGCGGTAATAAGCGAGTAGCGAAAAACTCGATGGAAGTTGATTGTCACGTCTTAGTAGGTCCCACATGTTGTAAACGGTGGAGATGCTGAATAGGACATAGAGATGAAGAGGATCCTAGGTGTCCATTGTCCCACGCATTAACGGTTGAATTTCTGCACTTTTTGCCTTTGTGCAGTTGCAGTCGGGGTGTTTGTAGGCCCGAGCATCAATGCATCATGATGATACAAAGCACAGTCGACTTGTAACACATGTTTGGAATCTCAATTTAAAATGCCGCCACCTGCGCCGATGATTTCTATATAACGCCCGTTGGGTTGGCAATGGCTTACCATTAGGCAAGCTAATGAACACTAGAAAAGCTTGACAGATTGTGAAATGGATGTAGTGGGTCCCCGGTACCCCACACCATATTGATAACAACACCAAGCTGGCTTATATGAGCTTTGCTTTGACAGGTTGTTTTTCTGCCCAATCCAACCCCACTCCTGCCTTTAACCTCCGCCAACCTCTTCTCTCTCCCATCCCTTTAAAAAGTGCCCTCTCTCCAGTCTCCACTCATCTCTCCAAACTCATATACTCTCTCATTTCGATTTCATTATTATTATCTTTTCCTCTCTTTCTTATTTTTACATTACAGTTTACATCAAGAATCAACATTAGCTATGGCTGACGAAGTTCAGAACGCAGCCTCCGATGGAATGCCGCATGTGGACGAGGTGGTTGTTGTTCCTGACGTGCCACAAGCTGAGAAAGCTCCGGCCCCTGCTGCAGTCGGGAAAGAGCCACCTCCGGTACCCGAAAGCGATGAAGAACCGGTGAAACCAAGGCAGGTTGAGGAGGCTTTAGAAACAGAGGTATCAAAACCCGATGTGGATGATCAAGAAAAAGTTCCTCAGTCGGGTTCTTTCAAGGAAGAGAGCACCAGGGTTGCTGATCTTCTTGAGAATGAAAAGAAAGCGCTTGAAGAACTTAAGCAACTTGTTCAAGAAGCGCTTAACAAGCATGAGTTTGGCGGGTTAAGCAAATGCCTCAACAACCGCGAAGCAGCTAAAGAGGACGAGGAAGAAAGAGCTGGTGGTGACAGAGGACGAGGAGAAAGAGGTGGTGGTGACAGAGGACGAGAAGGAACCTGCCAAAGAAGAGCCAAAGGATGAAGTGGTTACCGATGAACCACCAATACCACAAACAGAAACAGAAACTGTAGCGGAAACAAAGAAGGAACCAGAAAAGGAAGAAAATATCAATCTGCTTGAAACGGAGGGTATTGAAGAGAAGGCTGCTGATACTGCTGGCTCCGACACTGTGGAAGATGATGGTGCCAAGACCGTAGAAGCCATTGAAGAGACTATTGTTTCAGTCTCTTCTTCAGTTCAACCAGAGCAACCAGCTGGAGCTAAAGAGCCTGCAGAGGCTGAATCGGTCTTGGAAGAAACACAAGAAGATGCTAAAACAGAGGATCAAGTGCCCCCAGAGGATATATCAATATGGGGCATACCACTTCTTGCAGATGAAAGAAGCGATGTTATTCTCCTTAAATTTCTAAGAGCCCGAGATTTCAAGGTGAAAGACGCATTCGCAATGCTTAAAAACACGATTCGTTGGAGAAAGGAGTTCGGCATTGATGAATTGATAGAACAAGATTTGGGTGATGATTTGGAGAAGGTGGTGTTTATGCATGGTTTTGACAAGGAAGGACATCCGGTGTGCTATAACGTGTACGGGGAGTTCCAAAACAAGGAGCTTTACCAGAAAACATTCTCGGATGAAGAGAAGAGGCAAAAGTTCTTGAGGTGGAGAATCCAATTCCTGGAGAAGAGTATTAGGATACTGGATTTCAGGCCCGGTGGCATTTGTACTATTGTTCAGGTCAATGACTTGAAGAATTCTCCAGGACCTGCTAAGTGGGAGCTTAGACAAGCTACCAAACAGGCCCTTCAATTGCTCCAGGACAACTATCCAGAATTTGTTGCCAGACAGGTATAACTCTTATTGTTATTACCATTTTTTTTTCTTTTCCTTTCATGTAATATTATCAGTATGTTTTTTTTTTTAAAATTTTGCCAATAGCAACTGTATCAGTTTGCATCTTGGGTCTTACCTTTGTTTCCAATTGGCGTTCTGGCTGTTTGTTCAGGTGTTCATCAATGTACCTTGGTGGTACCTTGCAGTCAATAGGATGATAAGTCCATTTTTGACCCAAAGAACTAGAAGCAAGTTTGTCTTTGCTGGCCCTTCAAAATCTGCAGAGACGCTTTTCAGGTTGGTGAATAATTTGCTCCATTTCTCTCTCAACCTTTACTATCTGCGTTTGTTTATCTGAAATTACTTTGTTCTGTACATTCAGGTACATCGCTGCTGAGCAAGTGCCAGTCAAATATGGAGGACTGAGCAAAGACGGTGAATTCGCCAACACTGACGCCGTTACTGAGATAACAGTTAAGCCATCGGCGAAGCACACAGTAGAGTTTCCAGTTACTGAGGTAGGTGGCTTTTCTTTTGTCTCTCTGGGCAAGAGTGCTTTCCACTTTTCTAAGAATCCAAAGCAGAGAACTTTGGCCCCGGGCTTTGGGATTGGGGTAGTATTGACTTTGAATATGGCATTTATCTTTGGATCCTCTGTACCCTATTCCTCTGTTTGTAATTTGCCGGTACCACTTGTGTAGGCCTCTTGTCCAACAACAGGAGGGACCTATCTTTAGAATATTGAAGAGAGATAAAAAGAAAATTCAGAGTAAAAGAAGTACTATGAAAAATTGCATATAGTTAATTAACTGCAGATTTGATATGGCATTTAAAATTGGTTGAAGCTTAAATCATGAATTAAATGAGTGCGCAGTCGTTTATCCTTTTTATTTGGGTGGAGGATCATAGGAGTAATTTTGGTTTGTTATGCAGACATGCCTTCTCACGTGGGAGGTCAGAGTTGTTGGATGGGATGTTAGCTATGGTGCAGAATTCGTACCTAGTGCTGAAGACAGCTACACAGTTATAATCCAGAAGGCTCGGAAGGTTGCATCTACTGAAGAACCCGTCGTCTGCAACAATTTCAAGATTGGTGAACCTGGCAAGGTTATTCTCACCATTGACAATCCCACCTCAAAGAAGAAGAAGCTCCTCTATCGCCTCAAGACCAAGCCTACATCCGATTAAATGAGAGCCAAAAAGAAACTAGGCATTCACATTTAAGATCATTACAGCTGGGAGGATGAAATTATTCTATTTGCTCTTGCTCTGCATCAAGAAAAAAGAAGCTTTTAACATTAATTTTGGAAGTTGTTTACTATATATGTATGCCCGAGGGGTTTGTTTATAATCTATACTCTATACTGCGTCCAAGCTGTATTCTTTTTCCTCGTAAATGCAAAACTGTTTTTGGTTAGTGGGATTCCCACGGAGGCATAATATTATTCTTTTGGGCTCATTAATTTTCTTGTGGCCTCGATTTTCAAGTAAAACATATCTCTATCTTCAATGTTCTACTGCTTCTTCCATTATTCGTAGGTTAATGCCCTGTTTTGGGAATGTTTTGCTTCTACATTGCAAGTCTTTAAGGATGCAGATACCAACACACCGAAGAGTCCAAATCTATATAAAGAAACTATCATCAACTTATATATATTCGAGTTAAATACGCGGGCTTTTGGCTAATTATTGAAATGATATATATTTTTGTGTATATTGCATACAAGGAACTTTAGGGAAGAGGAAGGATTGAAACCTTAGATTTTGCCCTTCAAATGGGGATAACAACTATTTAATTTTGAGTTGTATTTCCAAATTAAAATACAGAAAGCTAGGAATTGAAAGAATGTCAAATTTATTAATTTTGGGTATTTTCTTTTATTTATTATTTATTATTTATTAGTGTGGTTAGCTCAAAATAATTAAGACTAAGAGGAGGTGAATTGGACTTTTTAAAAATGTTTCTAAACTTAGTGAAAAATCAATCTTTCTTGAGACAAATTTTGGTATTTTTTTTGAAAGGCTGAGATTTATTACTATAAAAATCTCTAAATGGAGACTTACAGAGAACAAAGTCACAAGACTTGCTTGAAAATAAAATGAATTCCCAGCAGGGAGGGTTGGCAGAACATAGAAAAGACTTGATAAGCCTTCAGACATCAATCATACCAGAAAAGATAAAAAAATCAAAGCCAATATAGGCTTGCCCTTACTAATCTGGGACACTAAGACAGTAAAAATGAATCACCGGCATTAGTGTGGCCAGAATCAGAATAAAGATGGCAGGTTTAGGGAAGGTTAGCATTATGATTAACAAAGTATACATTGTGGTTGGCTTCTCTCACCACCCCAGCTTTTGCAAGTCCTGTCAGCTACCATGTTGGCTTCGCGCCTAATGTGGCAGAAAGAGATACTTGTGATGTTGCGTAAGTGGGCTTCGATTACATTTGAAATGAATTTCATGTGCCATGGAACTTTGCTGTGATCACTCACCCAGCTTATGGCATTGATAGAATCACTTTCCACTTGCAACTGATAAGTTGTGGCCCACGGGGAATAGAGGAAAAAGTTAATTCCTTGTTGAATGGCTTTCAACTCTGCGAAGTTGGAGTCTTCAACACTTATGTGATGAGAGAAAGTTCCCCTTATAAATCCTAGGTGGTCTCTGAGTACTCCCCCTATGCCAGCTGGGCTAGGCTTCCCTCTAGCTGCTCCGTCAGTGTTGAGTTTGAGGGCTCTAACCGGAGGAGACAGCTAGTTGATGTTTTTCCTTTGGGAGAGATTCTTCTTGTTGCCACAGAGGACAGGAGGATTATAGAGACACATAACTGCTTGGATGTGCCCCATTGGCCATCTCTTTTTGCACTATAGGGAATATCGAAGAAGGATAATATCTACCATTTGCATTGCTTTGAAGTTCTTCCCTTTAAAAACAATTTCATTCTGGCATAGCCATAGAGACCACACAGTAGCAAAGAATAACATTTTCCATGCATTCTTCATATAAGAGGGTATAGGATAAAAGAACCAAGCCTTAAAGAATGAAAGAGCATCACCAGGGGGAACCCAACAAATACCCCATTTGTGGCAGCAGAGAGACCATGTTTTCCATGCTACTGTACAGTCAAATAGGAGGTGAAACGGAGTTTCAAGTTGAGTAAAACAGAAGGTACAGTTGGCATCATTTGGATTAATGATTCCTCTTTGCCTAAGAATAGCTTTAGCAGCCAGTTTTCTATGAAGAGCTTGCCAGCAGAATGTTTCAACCTTCGGAGGAGCGAGACCAGTCCATAAGTTACTCCAAGGGCTATCATACATCAAGTGGTCTCCATAAAAGGCCTTATAGAAAGAGGAAGATGAGTAAAGGCAACTGGTTGTCTTCCTCCAAATTACCTTATCTTGATCAGAAAAATGCGGTTGAACATTTTCAATGAGAGACTTAAAATCTTCCCATTATTTCAGCTCCTAATTGAAAGGCTGCCTCCTAAGTTTAACATCCTATGTCCATTTGTTGTTTATCCATTTACCGGTGTTAGCTGTAGAGGCCTTTTTATCCTTAGCTAAAGAAAAAATCCAACGAAATTGAATGGAGAGAGAGGAGTTGCCAACCCATGTGTCTGTCGAAAAAGAAATAATGCATCCATTCCTTAGTGAGTGTCCAAAGCCTGTAGTGACAAGATCATGATACTTGCTAGTAGGATTGAGAGGCTTTGTGATGTGCTGCCATAAAAGAGAAGGTTGGTATGCTTTAGCCGAAGGAATCATAATAGCTGGGTCAAGTCTGTTTTTTGTTGAGATTATTTGGTGCCATAGACTTTCAGGCTCATTGGCATAACGCCATAGCCACTTGTTTAGAAGGGCACGATTTTTCAGTTTGAGGTTCATAATTCCAAGCCCATCTTGATATTTAAGCCTGCAAACTAAGTCCCAGTTGATGTAGTGAATTTTCTTCTTATCTGAATTTCTAGATCATAGGAAGTTTCTTTGAATATTTTTCAACTGCTTTTTGATTGAATAGGGCATTTGGAGAATAGAAAGATAATACAGTGGGAGACTAGAAATGATAGAATTAATGAATGTGATTCCACCTCTCATGGAAAGATGTTGACCCATCCAACTTGCAAGCTTTGAGTTGAATTTTTTGACAACGAGCTATCAAGTACTCTGCACTTGTGGGTTGGCTCCAAGAGGAAGTCTAAGATATTTAGAAGGCAACGACTCAACTTTACAATTTATCATGTTGGCCCAGCCATTAAGAAGGTCAGGTTCAATTCCAATACCCAAAAGGCTACTCTTGGAGAAATTTATTTTAAGTCTCGAAATTGTTTGGAAAATTTTAAGGATCCTTGCAATATTCAAGAGCTGATCAGGTTGAGGTCTACAGAAGAGGAAAGTATCGTTTATGAATTGTTGGTGAGATATAACCATGTTAGAGCTACCAAGACCAATTCCCTCAAAGATTTTCAATTCATTTGTTTTTTTGAGGATGATACTACAGTTCATTTGCTTTTTTGAGGATGATACTAAGTGTTTCAGCCACCATATTGAAGAAAAAGGGTGAAAGAGGACACCGTTGTCGTAGACCGCTTTGAGTTTTGAACTAAGTGGTTAGGGTTCCGTTAAGAAGAATAAAAATGGAAGCTGTTGAAATGCATTGACAAATCCATCTTCTCCATTTAAGACCAAACCCCATAAGTTGCATAATATAATCAACATAATCCCAGTCTACATTGTCGAAGGCTTTTTCGAAATGGACTTTAAAAAGAGACCACTTTTATTACATTTTTTGAGGGAATCAAGAAGCTTATTGGTAATTAGAGTGCAGTTAAGGATTTGTCTTCCCTTAACAAAAGCAAACTGATTTTCACCCACAACTGAGCTGATGACTATCTTCAGCCTATTAGTTAGAACTTTAGCGAGAATTTTATAGGCACTACCTACAAGGCTGATAGGCTTGAAATGATTAATAGCTGAAGCCCCACTAATTTTTAGAACCAATGTGATGAAAGAAGCATTAATGTTCCTGTTGAACGTCCTAATGTTGTAAAAGTCCCTCATGAAAGAAAGAATATCATCCTTAAAAATGGACCATTGCTTTTTAAAGATCTCCATATTGAATCCATTAGGACCCAGAGCTTTGTCACCATCACACTATTGCATAGCTAATCTTATTTCCTCCTTAGTGAAAGGGGCCTCAAGTTTGGCATTTTGATCCTCATTGATTTGTTTGAAGTGGTAGTTAAACTCCTTGAGCTTTAAAGCAGTTTTCTTTCGAAAGAAATGACTGAAGTAGGAACCACCTCTTTTTTAATTTTTGTAGGGTTTTGAATGGTGGAGCCATTGACTTGAAGTTGGTGGATGCTGTTGTGGCTTTTTCTATTGGAGGTTGTAAGATGAAAAAACTTGGTGTTTCAACCTCCAAGTTTGGTCCATTGGAGTCTAGATTTTTGGAGCCAAGAACGTTCTTCTCACAAGCTTAAGTTCCAAAGATCAGTTTTAAGGGAATGATAACTTTCTTTCTCAAAAGGAGAAAGTTCTCTAAACTCGGCCTCTTTCTTTAGGTCATCAATTTCTTTTTCCAAGAGAGGGATTTTTCTTCCATCCTCCACATGATGTTGCTGTTGCCATGTCTTAATAAAATTTTTGAGCTTTTTAATTTTATCGATAAGCTAGAGGCATTGTCAGCTTTAATAAGATTCCATGAGTTCTGAAGGTGAGCAATAAAGTCTTCATTTTGAAGCCAATGGGAGAATAAGCGGAAGGGCTTAGGCCCCTAATTCAAGTGATCAGCAACCAAAGAAATTGGATTATGGTCAGACGTTGACCGTGGAAGAACTTTTTGAACCAATGAAGGAAATTGTAGAACAATCTCATTGCTGAGAAGAAATCTATCAAGGTGACATTTTATTGGGTTATCTCTGTTATCCAACCAAGTGAACTGATCCCCAGAGAGTGGAAGACCAACCAATTCCATTGTGTTGATGAAATTAGAGAAGAGAGCCATACTATTATAATCAAAGTGATCACCTATTTTTTCAGCTATTGATTTAACAATGTTGAAGTCTCCATAGATGCACTAGTTGCCTCCCAGCTCACTTTTAAGGTTTATGATTTCCAACCAAAGATTTTCACGTTCCATAGGGCAATTGGGGCCATAAATATTGAGAAAAGAGCATTGAAAGTTAATTGGTTTAATATAACCAGAGATGAGTATGTACCTTAAAGAGACCTTGGTGGAAGAGTGGACAAAGAAATCATTTGACCATGGTGATATAAGCCCTCCAGCTAGGCCTGTTGCCGCTGCCACCTCACTAGAGAAGTTTCCTTTTCTCCATATGAATTTGAGCTTGCCTAGCTTGACTTTGCTTTTCTTAGTTTCCTGTAGGAAAATCATTTATGGCTTCCTAGAGTTGCACAAGTCTCTGTACTGCTTTTTTCTGACTCTTGAGCCAAGTCCCC